GTCAATGTAATTTGCTTAATTTAATTCATCAGTATTCATGTGTTTTATGTTCACGCACTTCGTATTTTCATCTGGCACGTTTTCACATTTTTTATTATAATCTAATTCCTTTCCTTTTACTCGTGAATCAAACAATCTAAAAACGCTTACAAATTCAATATATGATAAAGATATTTTCCATTAATATTACGACACACTGATGGTAAAAAAAAACCTTTCACGTAGCACCCAAAACAGACAATAATATTTTCAAGTTGTCAATTATATAATCTGAGAAGTATCATTACAGCATTTAATCCCGATTGCAACGTAAAATAAACTCGAATACAAAAATAATACGCTATTAATAAATCTAATAGACACTATAATAACAAATTAAAATAAACGTATAAATTATTAGCGAAATTAATTAGAAGAAAAGAACTCTGTGAGACTTCTAAAATTTAGTATTTACAAAAGTTTCCTATTTGTAACATATCGTCATTCCAAAAATTTTAGTCTGCTTGTACTCTATTCTGAAGCATTCAAGAGAAGTAGGCGTCAAAGTTCTGCCAGAACGTCTTCTTCTATTACCGCAAACACACTGAGAGACAAATTCTACATCATTTCTCCGGCCATTTCAACTTCACTCATACGAGAAGTTGCCATGGTAACTCGAAAATTGCAGTGACTAAAAGAAGCGTATCAGAATCACAGACCCTAAAGTGATAATTCCGACAGCATAAAAATCAATAACATCACTATTAATATATTCCGTTTACAAAAAATTTCGTCTTAGCGGTTATGACCTGACAAGCCGAATGTTTGACTTCTTTTTCCTGTAAAAGAAGGAATTCGGCTACAAAAAAAATGGATTATGTCGATCCCTTTCAGAAAAAGAGCTGCAATTTTACTCTGTCGTCTGATCTCTTTCAAAGTAGAACAAAAAACACAAATTCGATATGAACGCTACTTCAGAAACTAATAAAAGTGACGAGAAAAAACTGATATCTGCCTATAAGTCTACACGGAGTCATAAAAATACACTCCCGACTCCCTGGATGACTGAACTAAACTTAGATTCGTAAAAGCAAAAGCCTTCTCAGATACTCCAAGAATTCTATACGATGTGTCCATTATTAGAAAATGAATTTGAATGTTCAAAAATTGTCCACTTGAATTACTCCATTTTCGTTTACTTATATTATCTCGTTCACAGCGTGACGTCACTGAATCAGACCGCATTAAGGATTTATACAGTACCTGTTCTGCTTCATAGCCTCATTTTCTGTTGTATTTCGAATTCGGTAGCGCAAATGTTTAGGCACGGGAACCAAATCTACGAGAATCTCATATAAATGTAAATCCCATTTCATTAAGGCTTACATCTATTAAGACTGCAGACTGGGTTATTATACAGATGTAAAAATCTTACTCAAATCCCGAAGAAGTTCCCTAGCATATGTTTCCATACATGAGGCTTTTGAATTAATACACACCTACAATTCAGAACTATTTTTCGGAAAGAACTTAACTTATGGACGGGTGTGTACCTATGAGTGACTGCCTCACTGATTAGCTAATTATTTATTAAAATTATTGCCGGCACGTGTGGGCGCCGTAGGACGCGTAGCCTCTGTCTTGCCTTCAGACGTCACGGCAAAATCGAAAACCCCAATCAATTAAAATATTTAATACCGACTGATTCGGAAAGTTAAGGTTACGTAGGCAATCAGACAGAGGATTTCACAGTCCACAGGTTTCTCGTTTTTAATACAAACCGCAAGAGAACTGCAAAATATGAATGAATAATTATCGATTGTGTATTTCTGTATGTTGCACTAAACGGTCTAATACTTTGTGTCTGCTTTAAAATCAAGAATAACTTAGCCAGCATGACATCAGAATTTGTTATATCGATACCTCGCTTGCCACGTGAGATAATTCGCTTGTGTTTTGGCTCGAAAATATAATAATAACATAACTTGGATTAATTTTGCTATACTTCCCAGATATTACAATTTTAAACCCTATAAGATTATTTACTAGAAGTATCGGAACTACAAAATTAAATAAGAACAATTTTGATTGTTTATACCATAACCACTCTCTCTCTCACCAAATGACCTCTTATGCAAAAGTTATGGCATCGATTTAACTTCTGGTTAAAGGGGCTCCATTCCACTGTAAAAGTAACATAATACATCGAATCTGTTGCTATGTTAAGAGCACAACTAAAGTTTATTTTAACTGGTTCGGTTATATTTAGGTATGAAAAAGGACATTTTTTACAACGTTCAATGTTGTTACGTCGTACGTTATAATTTGGAGGTGGAGAAACTGCAGCCCTATTTTACGTAAAATGCTTTAATTCAGATTTCAAATTAAGCTCGCTTAAGAAACTGTATTATTCCTTCTTCTCTTATCAGTCATTCAAGCCTTATTAATTAATTATGAATGTCTTAGAACAATATAGTCTATTGGTTAAGATTATGCGTCATTAAATTACACTTATGACATAATGGAATCCTTAATGGTCATTCCTGTGTGATTATTCTCCTCCTCATAGGAACGAACAAGAAGAAAGTGGAAACACAAATCACAGAAGCATGCTTCTCTTGTGTTACCACGCGTACCAGCAATTTACATGACATAGTAAAATTATAGTCATATAGTCATATGGCTGTTCAAAATTACGGGTATGTTCGAACACCAAACTATGGGATCTTCCCTTAATTGTGAAATTTCCATGGGCTGTAACAGTGCCAAAGGTTGTGAATTCTATAGGCAGAAAACAAATCTACGATGCCTCCAGCAAACAAAGACTCAGAACAAAGTTCTGAATTATTTTTTTAAGAATTCCGTTCTATGTCTTCAGGTAAGGATAATCCATCCCCTCGTATATTCGAAGGACTCCGAACTATGAATAGGCTAAAACTATGTAAGAAGGGTTTGGAGGTCATGTGTGATAACGAATATCTTCGGGGTTGTAGGATAGCCCTGATAATTGAGGCAGCAAGACCACTGAAACGTTGGTAAACGTCTACCAGACTACACAGCGCTACAACCCAGAAGACAGCTGTAACTAAGTACCTCCATTCTCAACATCAGCCTACAATAGTGCCATAAAACTTCCTCATAAACCAAAATTCGTAGCCTTGGAAGTACTTCATAAAGGCCGACCTATTCTGTTCATTCACTTCACAATCATATCCATTGTTGTATGTTTATTGTTACTAAAAAATCGAACTGCAGACTTCACACTACGTGGAATCAACTTCTTTACGACTTTATATTTGTAATCATTAAACACATCGAAACACTTCAAAAAAAAAACAGATCGTGATGGTGTTCTTATTGTTTATTTTGAGCGATAACATTTTTTGGAGACGACTGATAGTACGATTTGATCTTCCGAATATTTTGGACCTATAAAAAACAAAAATTATAGACTTGCCCAACAGATTTCAGTAGACTCCCTAATTCCAAACGTAGTCTAATAACACTCAGTAGTTTCGGAGATAATATCACGAGGATGTAAATTGCTGAAATCAAACAGAGTATTATGTTCATTAAAATAGAGGAGTTACAACAAAGACTTCCCGTCTTCATTCTTTGCATCGTGTCTGTTGGAATTTCCACCAGCAGACTTAGGAAGGAGCCGAGAAGTCAGTAACACTGATGTTCTTCAATTGTGGAATCCAATGATCCGTCTTTTACTGCCACTGGAAGGGGAAAAGAGGGGGGAGGGGGCATTGAATAAGATGAAGAAGAGTGATGTCCATTTCAAACTGCCTCATACCCAAACAGAACTTAATTTCGGTCTCATTGCGAACGAACGAACAAAACTTCGCTAGCGACACTTTGTGTTTTTAGAGGCTTCAAATGAAATACGATTACTAATTTACCAGCATCGAGTCAGGGACATAAAACTTTCACAGTAGGGAACGAAAACTGTTTCTGAGCTTTCAGTACTTCTTCTTACTCTGCCTCTGAATGCTTCACTACTGTGTAAATCCTGTCCTATCTCTCAACGTACGTACGCCGCTTGTAAAATGTGTGTGTTGTGTGTCATGAACTAGATCTTCAAGACACAATCGTCATTGAAACTCAATTGTTAAAATATATTTAGAGCAACAGACATACAGAAATACAAAATCAAAATCTATTATTGATTTTAAACAAGGTTCATAAAATTACAACTGGTGACATTAAATTCATGTGTCAGATTGAAAAATATAAATCAAATGTTAAGATTATAACAGAAATCAAGACATTGTTAATAAACAACCCGGTCTCAATGACGTGTAGGCTATAACTTACGTACGATAAACGATAATGCGAACTATGATGATGACTAATCGGTGAGCGTACAGCCTAACCTTCCAATTTCCCCTTCTCGCCCTTCCCCCCTGGGTAGTTAATACTTCCGACACTCGGTCAGTTGCGCCACGTAGCCCACTTCAACACTGTTTACATCACATAACATGGGACGACCAACAATGAGAAATCTTGCAAGAACAATGTATTACGTACTAATTAACAAATTATATTCTTATAACACCGATGCACAACTCATTTCCAACACAATGTAGAATCAAGTGCAATGTCATGTCTTGTTCGACAACTAAGTGACTACCCAAGTGTTGCATTCTTCCTTGAAACTTGAAAATCACTCATCTGATCAAGACTTTGTGAAACACGAGGGTTCACCACCCTCTTTACATCGCACCTCTAGTTATTACTCTGGGCCGAACAAGTGAGTCCCAAACCTTTCCCCCTATTTCTATGAGAAACATTTTGATATTATCTTTCCATCTGTTTGCTTGTTTATACTTCAGTTCTAACATACATTTTGTATCATACTGCATTACCTTACTCTTATTTCAGTACAGGGCAGTTTTTTCCTTTACAAGTCTATCAGGGAATAAACCAACAGATTTTTCTTGCGTTTTAGGTTGATCAGCAAGAATATGATATCACTTTTATTTACCCATCTATGCAGTTATTTACGTACTTACCTATGTAATTCGGTCACTCTCGGGTAGGGGATGAATGATTTCCATGTCTTCTGAATCGCCTATGTTGATATTAAGCAGATCGACCACGTTGTCAGTGTAACCTTCAAACTTCCACATCCTTACTTCCTCCTTAATAAGTCTGAATATCTTCCTGTGCCTTATTACCACACAACGCCAAAACTGTTACACAGCATTCACTTCCTACTGTACAACCGGAAATCAACTGACTCACATAATCTCAGGTACTAATTCTTTAACGTCACGTGACAAAAAAAATACAGTGATAGCACCAGCAAACCACGTGTATTTGTGTACACCATGGTTGAAGCAATACTGTGCTCCTTGGTACTCGAAGCTACATTTTTATTCAATTTTTTCTTTGTGGTTTACAAAACATAATTTTAATGTATCTGTCATTCTATAATTGCCCACCTCTCTTATCCTCACTGTTTTGAAAAGACAATTTATATTTGATTGAAAGTATAAATTATTAAGCGCTTTAAAGACAAGAAATCTGAACTGTATGGCACCAAGAATTGGTCGAATTTTAATCACTCTTAATTTCGTTATATCGTGTGCATTTACTTTCTGTTTCTCCAAAGTATTTTAATTTTGCTTGCTTTTTTGTCAAAGAGTTGGTATTGATAACTCGGAAGACCGAGTATACAGCAGGAGACGGACATCTGTTATCCATTTTCAGAAACCATATACAGTCCTTGCGTTTTGGAGGTTATGTGTCGGCAACTTAGTGGGTTCATTTTCGTAGGGTAGTCGAAAAGGATTATAAGTTACTGCTGTTTCAAAACGAATGTTCTTTATGAGTGATGTTTCCTATAGATGTTCAGTAAACCAGGATGTTCAGATATGTCATTAGGTGAAGTTTCAATGAAGTCAACATCCTAACCTATATTACTGGAATGATCTCAGTACATAGTGGTCTTGTGATCAACTTTTTGTACTGAAATTACACATTTTTAGACAGCTCGTACAACATGCAGGCAATCACAGTTTTCCGAAATATTGTAATAAATACTGTGAAAATGTGCCGAACATTCTCTGTCACAAAGCTTGAAAATACACATTGCAGGTTGAACAGTAAGTGTGTGTCTGATCAGATGCAAAATGAAATTTCAGAGCGTTCAAACCAAGTACCCTCATTGGAAGATGAAAATGCTGAGTGCATGAACCTGGAACTGAATGTTGATGCAGATAGAAAGGACACATCAGTAATAGAACCATGTACTGAAGATATATCTACATTTTCACCATACATTCGACCTTCTTTCAACTTTGCTGCTTACATTAACAACTCTCCAGTGCTCCAAGAACTAATTAAACTTGGTGTCAATCTACATAGACTTGAAAGAAGGAAAGGTGTCCCAGAATTTATCCTACAAATGGACTTCAACCAAAACATGAAAGAGCATATTAGGTAATTACAGTAATGCAAAATCATGCATTGAAGGAAGTAATTTTGATTGGTTCCATTATTCTGTTCAATGGAGCTGCTGGATTCTGAAATGGAATAAAAGTATGCTAGTCTTGTACATGCCAAAGATATTCAGGTCTCAACATTCTCATGCCCATTCTGCATGAAAGTATCATTGCTTAGCCTTTGAAATGGCATGATGGCCTGTCTAATTCATATGGCTGACTGGAGTTTCCTAGTGGAGCATACATTTATTTGGTGGAGGCACTATTCCAGGCACATCTACAATCCATTTCAGAGGGGTGCCCATTAGGTGGTCTGTTTTCCCCTTGAAGGGTATTTATTTTTATAAAGATGATAACTGACAGAGTGGACCTACAGTTCAATATGGTTTGAACCACTGTGTGGGTCTGTTATTAGGATGATGGGGAATCTATACTGAGCCCAGTAGTTTTACTTATAAAGTCTGTCCCTTTTTCAGGTTTTTACATGATTTGGGAGTTCCAGCAGATGAACTGGGAGATTTCATAACAAAAAATCCATGGATATTTAAAGATGAATTGGATAATCTCCAAGTTCGTGTTAACTACCTCCAGTCAAAGAAATTTTCAGCAGAAATGATAACGAGGGTAGTACGAAAAAATCCACATTGGTTATCGTTCAGGTACATTACAAATTTTGTTTCCTGTAATAGAATAATACGAGGCTTGAAATTCAATTGTCCATTTAAGGCTTATTACATGGATGTTATAAAAATGTGAATGAGTTAAACTAAAATAAGATTGTTGAGTCAAATGCCTTTGACTCAACACTGACATGGCTGATTGCCCAATAAAATGTTATAACATAAAATGAGATTAAATCACTATGTAGTTGGAGCTACATTTTGTATCTTTTCATAACTTTAGAATGCAGTACCTATATGTAACTGTACTGTATTTCTAGGTATTTTCTTAATTCATGTGTTGTACTTTCTGCTTACTATTCATAGTTCTTGATTCATTTATATGTGCAGCATTTTACTTGAATGAATCTTGGTCAGAAAAACATGCTGTAAATAAGCATGCTTTCTTTCCTTTCTGTTGGTAGCGCTGAGAACATAGATCAAAGATTAGGTCATTTTCAGAAGACTTTCAAGTTAAATGGCGATGAAGTCCGGAGCCTGGCAGTAGGAAAACCAAAACTTGTCACATACGATATGACTCACATTAAGGTAATTTCATTGTCTGTAAAAGGGATAATCTCCAAGTTCGTGTTAACTACCTCCAGTCAAAGAAATTTTCAGCAGAAATGATAACGAGGGTAGTACGAAAAAATCCACATTGGTTATCGTTCAGGTACATTACAAATTTTGTTTCCTGTAATAGAATAATACGAGGCTTGAAATTCAATTGTCCATTTAAGGCTTATTACATGGATGTTATAAAAATGTGAATGAGTTAAACTAAAATAAGATTGTTGAGTCAAATGCCTTTGACTCAACACTGACATGGCTGATTGCCCAATAAAATGTTATAACATAAAATGAGATTAAATCACTATGTAGTTGGAGCTACATTTTGTATCTTTTCATAACTTTAGAATGCAGTACCTATATGTAACTGTACTGTATTTCTAGGTATTTTCTTAATTCATGTGTTGTACTTTCTGCTTACTATTCATAGTTCTTGATTCATTTATATGTGCAGCATTTTACTTGAATGAATCTTGGTCAGAAAAACATGCTGTAAATAAGCATGCTTTCTTTCCTTTCTGTTGGTAGCGCTGAGAACATAGATCAAAGATTAGGTCATTTTCAGAAGACTTTCAAGTTAAATGGCGATGAAGTCCGGAGCCTGGCAGTAGGAAAACCAAAACTTGTCACATACGATATGACTCACATTAAGGTAATTTCATTGTCTGTAAAAGTTACAAAAGAAAATTATTAGATTATTGGCTGGTATAAAACCTAGGAATTCATGTAGAAGTCTATTTAAGAGATTAGAGATCTTAGCTCTTCCATGTGAATACATATCCTCATTAATGAACTTTATTGTAAATAACCAAGAACTCTTTCAAACTAATTTTGCTATACACAGTGTCAACACAAGGAATAAAAATCAGCTTCATAGACTAATTGCCAACCTCTCATGTTTTCAGAAGAGTGCATATTATGCAGGGATCAAAATTTTCAACAGTCTACCATCTAATCTCACAAGTCTTGTAAATAAGAAGGCACAATTTAAACTAGCATTGAAAAGATACTTAATTACACACTCCTTTTACTCTGTCAATGAATTTATGTTGTTTACAAATAAGTGATAAATTTTTCTTGTGTGTAATGAGTAGATCTATTTGTAGCTTATCATTTCTCCAGGTGAATACTTTGTTTTGTATTATGTGAAATTTATATAAAAGTACAAATTGTACTTTATAATATGTATTGTATTATTATTTTTATTTTTATTATTATGACTTTTTCCACATCCTATTGTCATCTGACTGTCTTATGGATCCATGGAATGTAAATAAATTATTATTATTATTAGTGAATATAGAGATTACTGAAAAATACACTTTGCGAAAGTATGTCAACAAAACTTGTACTTAGTACTAAATGAACCCATTCACTGTTATCTAGGAGTTGAAGTATTTATGTAATGTTTATGTTAGAAGAATTATATGTAAAATCAGTATTTCATACAAGTAGCCACTTTAAAGTGTAGTGTGCTTTATATTTCAGAGAAATACATTTTCACTGAAAGAAGAAATGGGTTTCAGTGATGATGAAATGCGAAGTTTGCTGCTAAGACAGCCAAAATTATGGTTGAAAAGTAAGTTATTAATTCTCATTTCTGTGAGTGAAAATGCTTGTAAAATTACTTGGAACAAAAAGGCTTTATTAAAACTTATAATACTGTAGAATTTTGTACAGACGTGACACATGGTGTCTTAATACGAGGGATGAACATAAACTGCGAGTGTTAAACACTCAATTGCTCAGGTGATACGTGGGGAATGGAGGACACTGAATAACAAGGAAAATATTATTTTGACAGCTCATTATGGTAATCATTCAGAAGGTTGTGGATGTGCAGTTTAATCATATGGAGGAAGACAAAATGCATACAGAATTTTGGTACAGAAGCCTTTTAATAAGTGACAATGTATCTTACAGGTTGAGAGGATGTGAACTGGCATCGGATCATATGTAAAGGCAGGCTTTATTACTGTGTTAATTCTTCAGGTTCTGATACTAGTTGTTAACGGTGATGGTCACAATAGTAAGATCCGCACAACTGTTTTAAAAAATTGTAATCAAAACATTGATTTCACATACTCTCCCTTTTGTCATCGCAAGACTAGAACATGGGGCACTTGAATAAAGAATGTGATGGAAATACACAGTGATGTTTGTATGCAGATACAATTAAAAAAATCAATTTTTAATCACTTTGCATTTGAATTTGTATCTTCATGTGACATCATTGCATATTTTATGACTTCAGTGAATGCAGCAGAGGTCAGGAAAATCATAACTGGATACGTTTCCAACAACTTTGAATTTAGCTACTAGGACCGTTTCAGATGTTTATAATAAAAAAAAAATTGGGGGGGGGGATTACCATAGTAAATTTTGATGAAAGGATGTATAAATTAATTGTTCCTGTTAACATAAATATAAACACACTGTTTTGTAAATATAGTAATTCCTTTGTATTACCAACACAGCAAATACCCATATTTTAAAAATATCCTGGATTCGGAGGGTTACAACAGACTATGAGCGGTAACCTATATAGTACATGTCATACTGTCCTTTGCACCTATAAAATAATTTTAATTTGCACACAGTGCTTGGAAAATGTTAATACTGTATCCTTTTCTATTTCAGGTAACAAGCCGCTGCTGGTGGTGTTTGATTATGTGCACAATGTCATGAAGTTGACTCATCAACAGATTGTTGATTTTCCAGAAATTCTCAAGAGTAGAACGTTTCGTGTTAAACAACGCCATCTATTCTTGGAGCTTTTGGGTCGGGCACAGTATAATCCTAAATTAGAAGGCTACATTTCACCTAAAGCTATTGTTTCTGGCACAGATTCTGAATTTTGTCAGGCTGTAGCCAAGTCATCGGTTGAAGCATTCAACATATTTCTCAAATCAATTTAAACATGAAATAATATGAATTTCATTTTAAAAAATCTGACAGAGCTCTGGAGCTTGCATTCGCATAGCAAACTTATATAAATAAAGAAATTAACCTGTTGAAAGGAAATATTGTCTTATCAAAAATGTCCATATTGGTAAATTTGTAATAACGGAATGTGACGGTGTATTACAAAAATGTTAAGCCATTTAAATTCTCATTTAGATTGGACAATTTTAACATAATATAATTTTCTTTTTGAGACATTAAACAGCGTTGCTGATCGATCTTTTTAATGGTAACAATTTGTTTTCTTTGAGGTAAATACAGAATTTCATTTATGAATTCTGGTTGCCATGACATCTGATCAATATCTATTCTGCTGAAAATCCTTGTTAAATATCACTATCTGAATACAAAATCTGTCCTTTAAGTACGTCATCTTGAATACTTAAGCTACTCACACAAATAAAAGATCATTTAATAAAAGACATTTTTATTAAATATCAATTATTATACCTTTGCAACAACAAATAAGAACAAATTCATAAATATAACCTGAAAACCTTGTGCCTTTACTATGTTGACATTTTTTAGAAATTTTCCTTACAAAATTTGTGGAGGTTTACAGTTTTTCAGAATTTCGAAATCTCAGGTGCATTGTCACATTAGTTACCAGTCATCATCATGAAATAAAACAACAGATATCTTTACAATCAACATGTTTTCCAATTTTTGATAAAATTTTAACAATCTATCTAAACTTTAATTAAAAAAGATTTAAGATTACATATTCAAAGATGCAAATGTTTACTTCAACTTCACACAAATTTTCTTGAGGTCAATTAAAAGGTTCAAAAGTTATAACGAAGATACATATATAACAAAATTGACAAGCCCATGAACTGCCCTACATGAATACTGCTGAGAATGGATACTGTCCAATAAATGCAAGAGATAAATCCTCCAAGTGGCAAGTGGAGACTTTGTAAATTTTCAGTTTCCAGTTCAATATTTGTACCTTTTCATTTGGTTCATTGCATGGAGATTACTGCAGCCGACATATTAAAATGACCTTATATTAATTTACCTTACCTAGCTCAATTTTTTTCTGTATCGCTTTAACCGAGTGATACAGCAAAGAATCTATAATTCCAGCAACTGTAAATATGCCTCCAATAATAGCACAGATGTTAGTAGCGCAATGTCCAAAAGATCTGAAATGTAAGAATATAATCATTAAAATATTTAATATATTACCAGTATCTATAAAAGACATGAATCTTATGGGAATGCTTATTCAGTTTATTTAATTATGCCTCTTCTCGAGTCCTAGACCAATCGGAGTCAAATTTTTTTCCATTTAAGACTTTATCAAATTAGCAATTAAAGTATTTCAGAAATATTTTTATTCATAATGTCTATGAATTATGTACATCTAGTCATGATGTTGAAGTAATTCAGTGATTTTGCCATATTTATGCAAATACCATGCACATCTTCTTTATTACAGTTCTGTACTAAGAAACTACACGTTATACGAAACGCTATGATTTCGGTAGCATAAAATGCTGTGCATAATGTATCAGCAGTTGTTAGTGCTACTTTAATTTAATTTTTGCATTTCATTTTTCACTAAAAATATTTTTAAAAAAATATCGTGCATGGCTTTTCATAGGTATTTGATATTTAAAATTTAATTCAAGAGCATGGGTACGATGCATGGATGTAATACAGGTATGCTGGGTGTAGTAATGCAAAAACTTACGGTATAATTTCATCAACAATGAAGAAATAGTACTTACTTTTCCCTTTCTGTATATTTTACCATCATTGGAGCAAGTTCATAACTAAAAAATATACCAGGCATTCCAGACTCTCCGCTGCTGATGGATACAACCTGAAGTGCAGAAGAAGACATTTACAATCATCACCTGTCAGTGGTAAATTCTAACAGCAGATGAGGAAAATCAATAACAGAAATGCTGGAGATGTTCTGGACAGCGTCTTGAACCAAAGTGTTTGGCATCACAGGTTCAAAGCTGGTCAGAAGTTGTTGAAAATAAACTGGGTCATTACCGTACCTTTTGATGTCTTGTAACGGAAAACTGATTGGTCTGCCACACTGCGCCATCTTTTCGAACATATGTTGTTGGCACTATCTTGACATAATACTGAAACATTGTTGCACCTAAAATAAAATAATTGTAATTTTTAGCAAGGATGAATTCAGTTCTCCCCACATTAAAAACAGCAGCAGTTAATTCAACCAAGTTCCAAATGTATTGTTTGTATTATGTGAAATTTATATAATAGTATGAATTATACTTTATAATATGTAATGTATTATTGTTATGACTTTTGACGTAAATACGTCTATACGGAAGGGTCATTCGTCAAAAACAGCATTACGAAGATATGTAAGATCCATACCAGCTTTTATATGAACTCCTGCGTGCATAACAATGCTTTACTCCTTTACTTAAGAAACTAATGTTATGTCATCTGTTTACTCGGCATTGTTTGTTTTTTTACTGCCGTCAACAATCCGCTTTCATTATTGCGGAAAGAGCTGAGCTGTGAATCGCTTGTAGAAGAAGTGCGTCGTAGAGTAATTTTGTGCTGGTAAAAACGTTTTAGAATATCACAAGTACTTATCTTATATAAGAATTATTAAGAAATCTGTGATACTGCCCTCCACACTCTCCATTTTAGTTTTGATTAAATTCATCATTGCCGGTGGACATCGTGGTCTCTTACAATTGAACAAAGTTTGAGGTAAGGGATTCCTATTTATTATTATTGTTCATCACATTTACTGTTTTCATCTGCATTTGTGAACTCGTTTAAGAGAATTAGGCTTCTCTTCTTTTGACGTAAATACGTCTATATGGAAGGGTCATTCGGCAAAAACAGCGTTAGTTACGATGATGTGTAAGATCCGGCGCCGAGTCACAGTTTTGTCACATTTATGGAGGAAACGTTTGGCTTAATGTTGATGTCAAATCCTCAATGTAGTACTACTAGATCAGAATCTTGTATAGATATGGTGTTTGCACGAAATGTTGATACTCTAGTGCACAAATTTTATAACATATTTCAGCTACCACAGACCCATCTTAAGCGTAACTAATTCAAGTTAAATAAGCAATGTCTTAATCAAACTATTTACTCAATTGTAAAGCATGTATAAAGGGAATATTTAGAATAAAGCTAATATATAAATTTCCTTTCATTGTAATTATTGCCTAAATATAATTTAAATACAAAGACGTATTTACGTCAGAGTCTCCGGAACCGTGGTTCCACTGTCAATTTACCACATCCTATTGTCATCTATCATATGGGTCCGTGGAATATATGTATTGGATTCATGTGGCTGCTCAGGTGTGACGGGTGGCACATCCTTGTGAAAATGGTAATGAACCTTCTGACTGGGTGACTATTAGCTTCTCAAAAAGGACTCTGCATCATGTAATTGCTAACATAATTACAAGATATAATACTAATATGTAGTAAAATGTCACTGCATTCCATTTTAAATTCTTCTAAACCTTCCTACTTCCTGTTAACTGTGCCAGTATTTCTTTCCAACATCGGGGCTGGCCACAGCATTACAGTAGGCCTAGGCTGACGACATTTCTGTAACACACAAAACCTATACCACACTCTGAAAAAGAATGACGTGACAGTTCACAAGTACTACGAAACTAGACATACAGTGCGCATGCGTTCCGTACGAAACAGGTTTCGAGAGTCGAGATTCTCGAGTCAAATCGTTCATATCTATAGTTGAACGAAGAGATAAACATGGCGGATTTATAGTTTCGGAATTGGTTGTGTCCAATATTTATCACCTAATCTGCATATCTGGGAAGACATTTCAAACAAACATATATACAGTTTACGTAATAATATTACAGGTTCGTATAAACTATATGTATTTGTTCAGTACAATATTTTAAGTACGGTTATATCAGGCACATCTTTAAAACCAAATTGTACTAACCTCGTGATACCCTACTGCTGTTGAAAATGCAAACTTGGCAATACAATTTCCTAATTATTAACATACTGTAATTATATTAATGTTATTTCAGTATAATTTACCAAGATTTCTGTCAACGTAATGATGTATGGGATATGCCAACTATTATGAGGAAAGTGACATTTTCGCTTTATAGAATTTTAAACTTTAACGACGACTGAATGCATTTAAGTCTTATCGGCCAATCATCGCTTACAGTGCCCATAATACTTAAGTGATTTCCCTTTATAACATTAACTGACTGCTATTTGTCAATGTTAGTCTTTGGGTTGTAATGCCACATGACTTGTAGGTAGATACTAACGGTCCTAAGAAACATTCTGCTCTCATCTTCAGGGCTTGTAGTTGTATGAGTGTTTATGTATCTATGGGGATACTTCTCCTGCAGAGTCTGAATGTAAACACTCTTAACCCATGTTACAAAATAATATCAGTTAATCTGTGAGTACAGGGACATTCATGGCATAGGCTAGGTCTCAGCTTTTAAGTCTAGAGGTTTCCTACAGTTACTGATGTGAAAGAAATTCATGTGGTAATAATTCTTTAATTTGATTAATATAATTTGTATAATGAAGAATACAAATAAAAGATTAATGTATTAAAATTGTGAATCTGAAGAAACAGTGGATGGCCTAGAAACATATCAGTTACCAGACACATTTTTAAGTGTGAGAGGCACAGAAAGTATATTGTTTTTTCTGTTAATTTATGTATCAGAAGATGCATAGTAAAAATATACCCTCCATTTGTTTTGTAGCAAGTTTTGTATAATGCCTGTTCCTGTTGGATCATACCATTCTGGCCCAAGCTGTTGGGATCGCATGAAGATGGGGTTCACAATAGGCTTCTGTGTTGGCATGGCATCTGGTGCTCTTTTTGGAGGATTCTCAGCACTCAGGTATATGAGAATTTATACTGCTTTAAAAGACTGTAACGTGCTGTGCTTTGAAACCTTATATTACTTCCTATTTTACCAGGTATGGACTCCGTGGAAGAGAATTAGTGAACAGTGTGGGAAAGATGATGCTTCAAGGTGGAGGAACCTTCGGAACATTTATGGCAATTGGAACAGGCATCAGGTGTTGAGTGTGATAAAATATTGTTACAATAGTCATAGTGAGTGACAAGAGTTCCAAGATATTTTGTGCAGCAAATCACATAACCTACATATTAAGTTGTGTGCAAGTGGTTTACAAACTGTAAAGACAGAGAATGACCAGAACAGAAAATCATTGATTATTTGCATATTCCATGTGTTATGTAATGGTTTTTGTTAGTAAATAACCCTTCATTATGTGTTATAATTTTATTCATGCAGTCCTTTTGTGTGACAATTTCACAGCAAACATAACAAGATCACAATCTAAACTTTCATCATGGAAACCTCAAATCTCATACAGACATAGATTAGATTTGAAATGCTGAGTTTAAAAGAGTCTGCTAGTAATGTAAAGACTTTTTTAACATAAACTAATACCAAGCAAATGTAAATTTTAAAATGGTGTCTTCAACAATACTATATATGTAATCATTTGGCTAACATTCTTTATACATTGCAAAGGATAAGTGGGCCCCAGAGCCTGTCTGGATGCAGTGATGAACAGAAAAATTCTGCCAGGAATCAAACTGTGATCATCCATCCTGTAGCCAGTTATTCTATACACTGAACTAATCCAGTAGAGAAAGCCATCTTCCGTTTTTGGATTCCGAATGCCATTGATGAAAAACAAATAACTGAAAGAGGTTCCTTACAACAGGCAACACAAAATGGCCTGCCTCAGTGGTTTATTTCTTCTTAAAACATCTAACTTTTTCACAGTATGAATGGCTTCAAATAAGAGGGTTTATTATGGAACGAAGTGCATCACAAAATACACTAATTACAAACAAAATATATTTACAAAGTGAAAATGCACTGTTTCCATCTTCATGGCTGAAGTCCTATGAGTTCATACAACTTCACAACCCAGAACAACATTGCCAACACAGTTCTGACTGAGGCTATGACGACATATCCATGGGATGAATTCCAAAAATAAGAGGCACAACAAGTACATGAATCATGAACTACGTAAATTTAAGTGTGATCTGAACAGCAGTTTATAATATGACAAAAAATTTAGCGAACTAAAAGAATAAACAAGGGTACCAAATTTTCTTCCACAAAATGATCTGAAACCTGACAGGTACAGAAATACAGAAGTATCAAGGTCACCTCTACCATAATGATGGAGTTATGCGGTATTCAGAAAGAGCCTTACCTTCATGTGTGATGACGTCAGTTCCATCAATTGGATTTGTCTTTCCTGGAATATTTTTACCAAATGAGAGGTGCCTGATGCGATGTGATGTGTTGAAGCTTGTAGAGGAAAACGGTTGTACATCATGAACTGCAAAATTAGAATTAGAATTAGTTTGTAGCTTGAAATGGGCTATTTATGAACAGACTAGCCAATCACCTCTATTATTCAACAGGATCTTTCTACCATATAATTTTAAAGAATTTCGCGTGACCTCCGAGATCTGTAATGACAAGAAACATCAGAAACAAAGAAAGATGATGCACTTTCCCGAAAACATTTTTTTGATTCTACATATAATACATACAATTCTATGTTTAAAACACCAAGTCTCTAACAGCAACTTCTAAACATTTATGGTAACCATATAAAAAAACTTGCAATTTTATAGTCTACTAAACACTTCTCAAATATTTAGGGGGCACAGGTCAAGTGCCATTCAACACAGGCTTTTAATTTGAAGTTTGGTGACAATTTCTGCAAATTTTATATTTAACATCTTCTGTGCTTTAAACAATATCAACATGACTACTATGCAAACTTATAAGGAATAATCTTGTAATTTTTCACAAGTTAACAACTAGCTTTCATTACTCTTTGTCAACAAAATACAACTTGTAAGGAATATTTATTTAATTTCTGAATAGACAGAAAGGACTACATATTTTGCACCCCCTGCAAACATAATGAAAATACTTACTATGTACATGATTTATGGAGAAGCTCTGTCCAGGGGCAATGTGAAAACTTCCACCAACCTACAGATTACAAATACAGATCTCTTAGTACATTATGTTACTTACAACATCGTGATGCAACAGAATGTCATTACAACACATTTCAGTGTACCATGAAATATTATTGGAATTGGATTGCATATCTTACTGAAGGGTGTGCAGTATTCAAATAAACACATTACTGGCAGAAGGCTCTTTCAAAATAAAGTAGCCTACTCATGTGCTAGTAGGAAGACGTTCCAAACAGAACCTTAGTTAAACATTGTGTAGAAACTTTCCTAAAAATATGTTTCAGTGTCTGTTATTTTTTTCTGTCCCGCTACACGCCATGTAGGTCGTTTGGGGGGAGCGGAGGTTAGCTCCTACTCTTTCTTGACCTCGGCACTAGATGGGGGTGAGTGGTCAGCATCACGCCTCGGCCATGCTTTACCGCTGGGAAAGGATCCCGGTATCCATTGGACAGGAGGCTGGGTGGGCCCCAGAGCCGGTCTGTACACAGGCTAGAGGAAAAATCCTCTGCCTCTGACAGGGATCGAATCCCGGTCATCCAGCCCGTAGCCAGTCACTATACTGACTGAGCTATCCCGGCATCTAGTGTCTGTTATTAGATTCAGTAAATACTGTACAGCTGAGGAAATCAATATGTCTTACATATATTACTCCCTTATTAAAAACTAGAAATATAATTCTAAAACATACGGAGTGATCATTTTATTTGTGAATCCATGAAAATGTAAACAAATTTATGTAAGAAAATAACTACAGACATGGAATTTAGAAGCAACAAATTTTGTTATCTGACATCATTTACATCGTTTATTTCATCATTATAAAACGTTATACCAAACTGCAACTTACTCGGTTTACTTCCATATAACCATATATTTGACAAGCTTCTGAAAAGGCATTCTTTAACTTCTCTGAATAATGCTCTGAATGGCACTGAATAACTGTATCCAGATCTGGAAATGCCCATTTCTTTCTTCTATAAGCTTCTTTCACGGCTTCACAAGTATCACAACACCTGGAAAAATATCATAAAAATTACAACACATATCAGAATTATACTTTACAATGAAAAACAAAGATGGACTACTATTAATAATTAATAATTCAATTCATTTAACAGGCTCTTATGAAACACCTAGGTACCATGCAAGAAATTTCTTGATTGGATAAATAATAATTTCTCAAGGATTACGTTCCATGCATTTAATTAACACAGATAATTGTTTAATGTGCTAGAATACAGCAAGAAAGCCAAGAAAACACAAGCACTGCAAAGGCATATGTACAATATGTCTTAGATTTATGGATTATTTCCCATAATACAAAATTCAACCCATTTCTGACTTCATTGTTACCCAGTCATTTGCTCTATTCTTAACTGTAGAAGATCTGTATTGTAATATACATACGGATAATCTGCAGTGTCAGCACCGTAACAACTTCCACACTTTTTTTCTTCAGTTGTATTTTTTTCTGGCTAGAAAGGGAATATAAACAAATGGTAGTAATGTAAGTAGCAACAAAAGTTCTACAGTGAACAATCTTTTAATCAGCATTAAAAAAGTTGTATGGATTATATAGTTTTATTTTGGAGGTGAGGAAGAAAATTTCAAATACCAGTTGCCAAAAAGAAAATTTAAACTTTTTGATTCATGTAAAGAAATTTTCCACAGTTGGGTCACACAGCAGTAATAGTGGAATGACATAGTGACTGATTCTGATAACTTTAATATCACTACATCAAATGTCAATGTTTGTAGAATGAAAAATCTTAACCTCAAAATTAACTTTTAGGCTTCATCTTTATATGATACTTACTTTTAACATATCTGTTCCTCCTGCTCCAATTTCTGAAATATGAAATTAACAAGTACATTCAGAAACATATTATTTTATGCACTTATAACAAAATACAGGAGTGAAGTGAACCTTTACTAATTTATCCAACTTCATCTTACTAAAGGGATTTCATCACCTTACAGCATATCTCATAACTGTTACGCTTGGAATGCAATCTAGTTGAAAGCATAATCCTTAATAAACAAAACTAAATACTTACTATCTTGGCTGCTTTTAACTAGTTCTATGCTATATCCTGATAAATATTGACAATGACAAGTAGAATTACCTTCTTTCTTTGGGTCTTCAATTGGTTTTCCATCCAGGTTCAATCTACGTTTGTAAATGTTGTGTTCAATTTTCAAATGTTGTTCTCCTGATGTATCCATTGCATCCAGTACCAGAACTGCAATATATAAAGTTAGTCTTTACCAACAGAACCGTAACAGGCAAGTTCAAAATGCAAATCAACCAGCTTTCTTTCTTCTTAGTGACTTTGAGGTTTTCACAGCAGTGAGTCTGAAGATGGTTGTCTTCTGGGTTGTTGTGCCATGTAGCCTCATAGAAGTTGGTGAAGTTTACCAGACTATATGGCACAACAACCCAGATGACAGCCACCTACAAAGTAGTTCTTGAGAAGCTAACAGTCATTCAGCTGGTAAAGAAATTCATCGTGGTTTACGAAATCCACACATTCACTACCATGTTCACAACAGACCCTATCCTAAGGCTTAACTGAGGCTGGAACAATTGGATATGTACCATCATGTACAAACAAGTGCGTTTGAATGGAGACATTTATAGTAGAGACCAGACTATTCAGGTGAAAGAAACCAGTACAGGAAATTACTGCCCTAAAAATGAACCAGTTCCCAGTACAATGTTTCTTATCTGGGCATCTGCAAGTTGTGCCTACAAGGTGAGCAGATTCTACTCTTTTATGTTTTATGCTCTACTGATGTACGTTTTAAGCTTGTTTTCATCATACTTTTTACTTCCAAACTGGAGTAAAAATCATAACAAATAAAACTATCTGTATTTTAGTTACTCTGCATTCCATTTAATAAAAATGTATGAGATCACTTTTGGAAGGGGTCCACAGTATCAGAAAGATTGAGAAATACTGCCCCAGTACATGTTGATGTTTTATTTTTGAATCACATAATATAACTATTACATATATGTCATAAAGGTACAACATGCTTAATTAAGAAGGTATGAGGTCTTATGTAATATAACAACAAAAAACAAAGCTTACATTCACAAGAAATTGCTGGTATAACAAAGTCTACATTTATCCTTAGCTTTGGTCCTCTTGATGTGTCCACAAACAGTTCTTCTGATACTGTAGGTGTCCAGTAGTCCCGAATTTCAAAAAATACAAGCAATGCTATCACACAGCAACTCACTACTGTCACTGTAAAATAATAAAGGGACAAATTATTTCCAACTTTTTAAACAGAACAGAACAATAATCAACTGATAACTTATTTTTTAAGGAACAAAACAACAGACACATTGTCCTCTGGAAAATGTGAGGAAACATGTAACTTTACCTGTCGCTTTCCAGATGTGTAACTTTTATTGTTTCTACATACTCTTTACGAGATAAGATATCCATAAAATGTTGGTCTAATACAATACATAATATGAAAATAATTCAAAATATGATATAGCAACTCATCCTTCCCCATAAGTTAATTATCCTAACATAAAACCAAAGTATGCTACGCTATGCTATGTCAAACAAGCCAAGGTATGCTGACCTAAACAAAACTAAAAAACAAGTACTGAATAACAATATAACGCAGCTTCTAGGATAATCATATTCTGCACTTTAAACCATGTCCCTCTTTACTAAATACAGATATTCGGACTACTAACAAATGAACTGTATTCTTATACTGAAATAAGGATTCGATTACAATTGATCTGCATATTCCTGTGGCCCGATATTCTTATTCTTTATAAAATTATTTCAGATACTTGTAAAGGTAGATTCATCTACACCTTCCACCAGTCTCAGCATAAATGCCAGGTATAAAATACTTGTGAAATGCTGTGTTGACAATGTGTTCGTTTGTTTACCTGCTGCTCCTCCATAAGTTTTGATTCTAAAATCTTCCAAGGTTTTTGGATATGCATCCAAATAACGTAACCTAACAAGAATATCACTAGAACTCATAACAGAAATAAAATAATACAAAACCAACAGAATACACACTAGACAGCCTTCACACACGTCAAAAACTACCTGGCACGTCTGAAACGCATCACGCACAGTCAATTTTTCTCTTGCCAATATCTGAAACAAATAATTTCCTTCAACAGTACATTGCCAACTACTGGAAAGATAATTTAATTGCATGATATTCACATAAAAGGAAAAAGCAGGTTAATTTTATTTCGGATGGTCAAATCAACGGCGCACTTTTTGCATATATTTTCAGTCTCGCTTCCCAAAATTAGGGTCCATGCAACAACGGCCCTGGGAGAGACTGATTAGCCCTCAAGGAAAAGTACATGTGAGGAATTTTAGGTGAAAACAAGTTCAACATGCATTATATGAACATACAAACCCAAATAACAACACCATTGGTTTAACACTAAGAAGTACATCATTGTTAATGAAGACTAATACAAGCTGCCAACAATTGCCAGTTACTCAGAAACATTAACAGAATAAGTGATAACGTGACGGGACAGTAAACAGTCAACAACAGCATTTTATAGAAGACATTTAAAAACTGTCGTTTACTTTCCACACGCTTCCATCGGAAACTTTTCTAATTCTTTCATCAATGTTGTCTGTCTGAGATATATGCACATGTATAAAGCAAACTATGGCAAAAATATGAAGACAAAAGGCAATTCCGATACATAAAAATACAGGAGCAGGCTTGGATCACCAACCAACATACTGCTACTATCTCCAGGACTGAAATTTCAAGAAATGTAAGACGCAACGATCCAAAATACTGTAGCACCGTTTACTACGAAAGTCAACTCAAATTTGAAAGACCTTGGCGTTTGTCCTGTAAAACACCGGAAGCCGGTCTGGCACAGGATTACTCTACACGAAAGTACAAAACAAAAAGTTAACTGACTTTTTATCCGGGCATTATCATGACGAGACCGACCAATCCCAGCGCAAGTAGGTACGAGGTTGTTCGTGAATGGGGGCAAAATCTACTACGCAGACATCTTCGAATTTTCTGCGCTTTCTAGCTTGTTGCCATGGTTACAGAGAAGTTCTGGCATCCCTCTGTCTTGCACGTAGAGCTAACGCTAGAGTGCAACAAGCAAGGGATGAGGTGGGAATGAGTCTCCCGATAGCGCATGGCTGTGCTACTAGGGAGGGCGACAATACCGTCTTCAGTCCTGGACCTCATCCAGCATCCGCTGTCCTTTTCTTTAGTGTGTTGCATATATTACACGATGCCAATATCAAACCAGTCATTTCTAATACACAAGACGAATTTTGGCCTAGTGTTAACAATCGTATCGATGGGGTTTTTGCTTTCGGTACGCGATGATTATATCTCACTACACAGTAACACGTGTTGTCTGCAGTTAACAACGATTAATATTTAGGTACGTAATCTCATAAACAAGACTATTCCTGATTAGTTTAGCCATAATACATCGGAGGACATTTGTAAACTAGGGAGTGCGCAGTTCGACAAACGTCATCGTAATCGAAAGTTAAGTGACATATTTCTATGGTAACGTACGGCAGGCCTACAACATACAAACACCAATAATATGAACATTGCACGTTTGTAACTTCAAGCTACATTACTCTTCGATCTCACCTTGAAGTATCACGTAAAAATCCATCGCCTGAGGATTGGTTATGGCTAGCTACACCCCGCTTCTGTTCCATAGAAGACCATCTCAGTTACATCATCATCGCGATCCTGGGCGTGATGTTGAAGATGATATGGTGTCATTGTACTCGGTGGCGGAGGTATCACTTCCCAGGATAACGTCCCGTGAAGTGAAGAGGCGAGAGGTTCAGCTGAGGAAGATTGAGAGGTCCAATGACGGCGTTTCGGTAAGTTCCGATAATTTTTAAAATAGACTGATCGTCACCAAACGTGAAGGCGTTCAAAACAGGGAGATTACGATGGAGGAGACCTGATAAATGCACACCAAATTTTTGTTGGAAACTTTTAGAATAAAGTACAGCTTTGAAGAACAAAACGTAGACTACAGGATAATATTAAAACGGACATTAAAGAAAACGTGTAAGAGAGTGTTGACTGCATTTATCTAGCTGAGGATAAGTTCCAGTGACAAATTCTCGGTGAACACAATATTGAACCTTTCCGTTTCATAAAAGAACAACTGACAGGTTTTCGGGAAGAACTTTGATATATGCATTTAGTTAAGTAGTTGTCGGTTTTCTTGAACCTAATATTATTAATAATATTAATTTTAATGCCGTGATTAATAGCAATAATATAAGCCAAAGAATTAAGTTTATTGAGTTTACAGTGAATAAATATTAACAAAATACTAAAATAGAAGTGATTTTATTTCAGTCAATAAATTAAACCGCCATAATAAATACTTAAAATAATTACTACATACGAAATATTTAATGTTAAAAAATGGAAGTGATGTATTAACAGTCTGTGTATATAGACGGAATACAAATAATGAAACAATTGCAAGAATTAAATTGGCTTCAGATAACTTTACATTAAGAGATTCCCTACCTAACTTCATAGAGCAGAGTCCTTCTTCAGAAGCAGATAGATTAGAGTAGGCGTAAACTAATATCGACATTGATAAATGCAAACAGGAATGGAATACTACGATTATGTCTGTGTGTCCTATTAATCAATTCTACACAATATGACGAATACTCTTCATATTTAATGCGTTCTTTGCAGTAAGTTTATGAAATATAAGTTAAACACTTTCTTTAACCATCTCAATCCTCTTAATGTTTAATATGTATATGAGTCTTATTCATGAAAAACTGTAGGCT